CTATAAAAGCTTTTTTTACTCGACTCTTTGCTATTTGATTGATTCATTGCCATCGAAACATTTTCTCCAGCCGATACAAGCATAACGGTAGCGGTCAGTACTAGAGCATCAGTCCTGCATGGAATTTAGAAACGTGCGTTTATTGCGTTAGGCCATGCGCTGTGCTAAATTCGTATCGATGTGTGTGTGTGTGGAATGGCTGCTGACTCGATTCCTCTCACCATGCAAGCTTAAAACCTGGCTGTTTGTGGATGAAATCCAATTTCCATTCTAAGCTCCCTGGGAGACTCGGCCTTAGTTTTAGTAATCACTTACTGTTAATACTGCCCCAAACAATTTTTAGTACTTAAAATACAAATTTCATGTATAATATATAATATGCCACATCACCTCTACTTATAAATTATAAGCCAGATACGTAATGCATTATAGGATATTAAAACGTGAACACTTTAACATCTAAACAGGCTCCTGCCCGAAAGCATTCACAAATTAAGAACTCGATCCAGCACTGTACATAGGAAACTTTCAATGACTTCTTTGGGAATTGTGTCCCGGGAATGCAATCTCTCGCCTCCTCGCAGGCAGATGAAATAGATGCGGCAGATTCAGTAACAGTTTGGTAGCATATATGGTCAGAAAAATGATTACATAAAAATGGAACTTTCTTACTCATCATATACCCTTTGTATCTAAGATACTCTGACTCATAATTGCTTAGTTTACTGACTGAAATAAAATTTTAGGCTTGTTACCTTGGCAGTTGCTGACACAATTATGGTACGGCAAGCTGGGGACTGGGTCTAGCTCTTCCATTTTCTTTTCTGAGTTCCACTTGAAGAATTTTAATTAGTATTTGAGCCAGAAAGAGCACAGCATGACTTGAATATCTCAGGTCCAGTTTGTAGGGTCATCAGTCCTAAGAGGCCTCTTTTTATTTGGAAACTAAGCAATTTACTTAGTTGCAGAAAATGTTAAAGACAAAAATAAAACACCCACAATGTTCGAATGAAGCCATCTTGAGCCAGTTTCTGCAGTGGAAGTGGATAAATTATAACACTGCTCCCTTTATCTCACTGAGTATGTCCCATTCATCTGTAGTAACATTGAATCAAACAATTCTCTTGTTTTAAGACCACATCTGTTTTACTGTGCCCCCCGCACCAATTTTAATTATGTGGCAGATCTGATTGGATTCAGCACCTGCAAGTCTTCCCTTTGGGAGCTCCAATTAGCTTATAAAACACTTACTTGATTGCACTCTTTAAACAAAAGTATTGTTTCATCCGAACAACAGGAATATTAAAGTGTAGAATAAAAAAAGGGGGTTAACCTGATAAGCGGCATGTATGTTGTTTGTGTATCTGTCTTCCATAAGCTTAGCCGAAAAAGTGGTAATCCTGAAACCTAATTTCCTCAGACTCAGCAGATGTCTGTCCTGCGTTAGCCTGTTTCTTTGCTAACAGCTGTTTCACAAGTGCCTCCCCTTGTCTCTACAGAATGCCTTTTGTTTAATAATTTCCCAATACGCTATCTCCCAGTCCCACTAAGACAAGCTTTTTCAACTTTTCTGGTACTTACAAGTAGGTTTTTTATCGTTTAATAGACAGGTTCCTCCTTGAAGAGTTTAGCTAAAGCTATAGAACTAGCCTCTCAGCTAGATTCTTAGTAGCAGTTCTACTGAACTAAGCAAAGAGCTGCATATAATAAACACTTCAGCAAATACTGATTTAATATTAATAAAAGGATCGTTAGAGCTATGCTTCAGAATATGCTTGTTTCTCCT